CAGCCAAGATTGCAGAAAATTGCAGCAGCAAAAGCAGTAGCAACCAACCAAGATTAAAGCCAAATGTAGCAGCAATGAAGCAGCAATGCAGCCAAGATTCAAGCAAAATGCAGCTCAATTCTGCACCACAACAGGTACCAAGTCTGGACACAAACAGCAGATAGTTCAAGACAAAAAAAAAAAAAACAGCAGGAGAATCTAAGCAAAACAGCAGGAAAACACTAGACAAACACTGTTACAATCTTTCAAGAAGATAAGGAATAGAATACCCATAAATCCTATCCTATTTCCCCAAATCTAAAATGGTCAATATTCAACTAAATCTACCAAAATTAGAGAAAGAACGAGATTGGTTTCATGCTCACATCTTACCAGAAAATTGCGAGTGAGAGAGACGGTTCCTCCTAAAATGGAAACCCGAAATGCAGAGACAACTGGAACTTGAGGGGAGCCAGCGTTTGCTTGCCGAAAAGGGAAACCCAAGGCTGCCGAAGGCGACACGCGACTGCGGTGGAGTGGGGAACAATGAGCTGCTACTTAGGAGATTTATGAGATGTGGGTGAGAGGGTTTGGAGGAGCAGGATTGGTGATGAGAGTTGGTGAAGGATGGAGGATGGTGGCGACGGACTGAGGATGGTGGGGGATGAGTTAGGGTTTCAAAACAACAAGAAAAATGGGGGAATCGGGGAGCTTATACTCTTGAAACCCGCCCCCTTTTTTTTTAAAGTCCACCCCCTTAGGTTTGAACTTTGTGACCATTAGGCCCTCAAAAAGATAGTTTCTCCCACATAAGTCCCTAAAATAAAGTTTAAGGTTTTTTTTTTTTTTTTATATAAAAAATTTGGGATATTACAGATCATCATCCCTTCGTTAACAGTACTTCATAACTCCGTTCATTCTTCCGTTAAAATCCTCCAAAATTTGATGCTCAAAACATTATTCGTATCTAAAATTTTAATTCCAGTACATTTTTATCTTCAAACCTCAATTTCTTTTCAATTTGGTCGTCCCTAAACTTTTTAAAGAGTTACACTTAAGTCTCAAATTTTCTAATTTCTTGTAACCTAATTTTTTCACACAAATAATAAAAATCATATAAAATATAATAAATCACATTCAACTCATCTAAATATCAATAAAATTAATACTAAAATAGTAAACTAAAATATATAAAATTCATCTAATAGAGTGAATAATCAAGTTTTTAATATTCAATTTAGGATCTTCAAAAAAAAAAATAACATTTAGCTCTTTGCACGCACATAACTTACATTATATAAAAAAAAAAAAAAGAGAATTACAATAGTATAAAAAAAAGGGATAAAAAAGAGGTACTTGCTTCTTTTCTTGGTTATGCACTCATAACCAATGAAATAGAATCTAAAGTTATCATCAATCTACAATGTTCACATAACCACATTTACTCTATACTCACAAGTCATATCCACATCCTTTGCTCTACTTCATCATTTTGATTATAACCTTCATAGAATTCCCAATTGAATATCAAAGACTTTTTATAACAAATGAGTATCAAAAACTTAATTTTGCACTTTGATAATATGAATTTTTATATATTTTAATTTAGTACTTTAGGCTTGATTTGGTTAATATTTAAATGAATTGCATGTGATTTTAATGAAAATTACATGATTTTTATTATTTTTGCAGATAAGGCTTGGAATACATGGAATTAGAAAATTTATTTTTTTTAAAGGCATAAATTAAAGGTGCATTAATTGCATATTTTACAATTAATTTTTATAAGAAAAAATAAAAGTAAATATTATTTTTGATATTAGGTTCACATGGGAGATTTTATTGAATAATTGATAAATTAAAATAACTTTTATTTTTTATGCAAATAATTTTAAAAAGGTGTAGTTAATAAATTTTTAACATGTTCCCTAAGAAATTTTTTTGAATCAAGTGTGCAAGTTAGAAAAATACTTTGAAATTTTGGGACTCAAGTGCAATTTTCTCAAAAGTTTAAGGATAAATTGTAATAAGAAAAGTTAAAATTGGGATCAAATTGAGCAAAATTGAAGTTCAAGGTCACAGTGTAATGAAACTAAAATTAGAGGGACCAAAATTGTTATTTTACCATTAAATTTTGGACCATTTTAACGAAGCATGAACGGAGTTATGCGGTAACTTACAAATAATGATTGCCTCTTCTCTAAAGCAACGTTTTTGGGCCCATCCCGGTGGTTGCCCCGTTTTGGCCATTAGATCCGGTTGAATCGGTTAAACCAATTCACCCAATCGATTCAACTGGTCAACTAAGAAGCAGCTTTTTTTTTTTTTTTACATATTTATTAGATTTTAGGGAAACAAATGCTCTATTCTACCATGAAGAAAAGGATCTGTTCTGCTGTTGTTGCTTGGTTCAATGGATGAAGGAGAGGAAGGTGCTGCTACTCTGTTTGATGGATGATGGAGAGGAAAGTGTTGCTACTTTGTTTAGTGAAAGAGAAGCTGCTTTGTTCAGTGAAGAAGAAGCTGCTGCTGTTTGGTGGAGGAAGGCGTAGAAGATGAGCCGTGAAGGGCTGGAAGGGGCTACTGACGGTGGTGGTTGAGAGCAACTACAGATCTTTTCTGATCTGCTGCTGCTACTGCTGCAAATTTGTTCTACTGCAGATCTGTTCGGCAAAGAAGAAGCTACTACTATTCAGTGGAGGAAGGTAAGGAAGATGAGCTGCGAAGGGTTGGAAAGAACTACTGATGGTGGTGGTTGAGAGTAGGGAGCTCGATGAAGGAAGGAGGGTCTGTTTTGTTTCAATGTTTCTTGAACTTTTTTTCTTTTTTCTTTTTTAATTTTCTGCAATGTTTTTGGATTGCCAAGTATTTTTTTTTTTTTCAATTTTGACCTTCTGTTAGGGTTTTTTTTTTTTAACTTAATATTAATTGAAGTTTAAGTGTTTTTTATGTAATAATACTTAAAAGGTGGGATAAAATGGGTATATTACTTGAAAATGAAAAAATTGGGTTAATTGAAGAGATGAGGTGCAACCCGACGGGTTCAATGGGTGGAACGGACCAAATGGGTGGAGCAGGTCAGCCGGGTTTAAGCGGGCCAAATGTTAAAACGGGTTGATGGGTGCATTTGGTCCATTTTCAAATTCGAGTCCGGTTCAACCAATTCAACCGACCAAACTAGACCGAGTTTTAAAACAATGCTCTAAAGTTGAGCAATTGTTATGATATATATATATATATATATATTGTAGAAGGATGATAACAACTTTTTTGGCAAAGTTGAACTAGTCCTTTGGGGTCAATTGATTCACCATCTATGTCTAAGTGTTTTGGCTCCAATAGGTTGGGAGTTTTACTCCTACCTATTACTTAAAAAAAAAAAATTCCCCCTTCCCAATGTTTAAAAAAAAAAAAAGAACTTCTTTTGCAATTTGGGAGGATTTTAGTGATATTAATACTAATATTTAAAAAGGTGAATTCTCAAATTTGATAAATTGATTTTTAATTAAATAAAACAATATATTTTAAGATTGAGTCTTTTAAAAATTTTGTTTTTTAAGTAGGGAGTAATATGCACTATTATCATAATAGTTTTAGAATAAAAATTGTTTCTCAGTTGAATTTCTAAAAAATTAAGAATAAAAAACACTTTAAAATTAATATGTTTACTAAACTTCTATTAAAAAATATTAGAATTACATATTTAAGAATAAAATTGTTTTTGTGAATAATTAAATTCAATGAAGTGAAGAGCATGGTTGTCAAAATTGCAGTTTTACTCATTAAATTGTACAATTTTATAATTTTAAGTATCCAATTCAAATTAAATTTAAGTTAAAATTAGAATCTCATCAACTTAGAATTCAAATTCGTAAAATCACACAAACTCATAAAATTAAATAAAATCAATATTTTATATATTTAAAAGGTTTTATAGATTTTTGTGTCTTAATTTAACTAACAATCCACTGTGGCGCATGGTGGAGTGGTGGTTGTTTCCCAATTATGGGTTGTTTTGCAATTTTGAATCTTAACGATGTAATTTGTTTTTTTTTTTTTTTTGGTTATCAAGCAAAAATTTTAAGATTTGAACCACTTTAGTGACTATAAAATAGAAAAATACTTAACAAAGACTTGAAATAATTAATTAGTAATTAAATTTTTTAGATAAATTTTAAATTTGAATATTTGATGTTAAATTTTAATAATATATAAATTTTAAATTAATTCAATAAACTCTCAATTTTAACAATTTAATTTTACAATTTCAATTTTACCTAAATAAAGAGAGTTTACCTAACTCTCTATTTTGACAACCTTAGTGAAAATATTACATGAAGATAATTCCTCAACTTAGAGCACTAATAATAGGTAATTTTCTCCATGACACAAAAAAAAAAAAAAAAGTTTAGAGAGTTATACATCACTAAAAATTATATATGCAATTAGCAAGCAGATCTAGGAGTGCTATTCAATTGTGCGTCCTAAGTATGTGGGAAGCTTATTTCAGATACTCTAACTTTTAAGACAAAAAGATTAACCAAAGACACTACCTCCAATTATGCAAAACCAAAATGTCTTTCGGGTGTGTTATGGTCACATAAATTTTGTTTAATTTGATAGACATTTTTATTAATTTGTAATTTTTTTTATTAAATAGCTAGTTATGATATTTGAAAATATCAATTTATTAGCTTATTTCAATATATTAAGTAATCAATATCAATTGTTTTATTAGTTACTAACTTTTTTTAACAGTCGATCAAACAAAATCAATATTTTTAAATAATATTATGTTACCTTAACAAATTAATATGTGACCATAACTACACCTATGTATTTCCTTCTGTCATGTAAAGCAAGGTGTGTGCTAATACATTACTCTCTCTATCTCAAAAAAAAAAAAAATAAACACTTTTTTATTCGCAATTTGTCCCATAATAATAATAGTAATAATTTTTTTCATATTTTAAAAGAAATAAATATTATTTTACTATTTTAAACTTATAATTATATCTTAACTTTAATCATTCTTCCTTTCATAAAAAAGTTTTTTTTTTTTTTTTTTTTAAGGGAAAAATAGATAAATATAGAAAGGACAATAATTTTAAAACAAATTTTTTGTATAATTTTTTGATACAACCTTATACATTATTTAAATAATTGGTTCTTTTTATTTATTTGAGATCCGTGATATTGAGTATATTTACTCATTTAATCACATATGCAAGTTATATAAAAAAATTGTATAAAAATATTATTCCTATATAACTGTCTATCTAAAAATTGTTTCTAAATCATTAATCCAAACATAAAATAAAAGATGTTCATTATTTTGAGACGAAGGGAGTCGCACATGACATCACTCAAATGGACTACCCAAGCTATCCATGCTTGAGAACGTGGATTTACTCACTCAGAGTACAACTGTATCTATAGGTGGCAATGGTAAGAGCTAGTAAGCATGGTAATTGTATTGCTGGTCCACATTTTTTCTCGGTTCTGCTCTTACATAGGCTCCACCTCATATAGAAGAAGGGGAACCCCTTCAATAAAAGAACTCGTGCGAGTGAGAAGGGATTGAATCTTTCATTTATTAGATATGTCTTCTCCTATGATCCAATTTGTACTTTACATAGGATATATATGAGTAATTCAAAGGAGAAATAAAAATATTTGATAGGATCTGATTCATTCTAGTAATAATAATAAAAAAAAAGATTGATTATGTATAAAACTTTCATCACTACATCGAAGGCATTTTTGTTGATAAAAGGACAACAAAACAATTGTCAAAAACAAACAAAACATAGAAAGTATAGATAAAATAATTAAACTCAAAATATAATGGACTTGTAAGCACTAGATGGGCCAAGGAAGACCCTAACCTAAAGCCATAAACCCCCAAGGACCTTATGGCTGCCCAGTGGTTTCAAGGCAACCACAAAGTGCCACATCAAGTTTCCTTCCGAAGTTAGCGATTGGCAAATTAATCAAGCTGACTTCATCAAGCATCATATTAGCATAAGCTGGTGGCTGGCCTTTTTTCTATTTTAACAACTCTTTTGCCTCTTAGAAATGCTCTTAAGTCCAACATTCTTTGTTGTTTTCCTTATAGAGATTGGAAGAATTAGCATATGATCTTCTTTAAGAAGTTGGTTGAGCTTAAGTTTATTCATTGTGGCACTTATAGGACTACTTGGTCTTGGCTTTTTCAAGCATAACACTTTCAATACCTTGTATAATTGTGCCTATAGGATTAGGTTGGAACTTTGAAAAACTTGTTTACATTAGCTACCACCTACAACCTCTACACCAAGAATTTTAGTAGAGTACTTAAGTCTTTATTCACTTCCTTTAACAACGTAAGTGGTGACAAGGACGTACTATAGCATTATTGTAAGACCTCTAATCCAATATCAAGATAGAACTATGCGTGTTAATAAATAAGTGTAGAAACCAACCACTACTAATAACTTGAACTTGAATTTGAACTTTTGAGGGCTTGTAAACCTTAGCCCAAAAGGTTGTGAAGCTAGTAATGGGTTTTGTCATAACTCAAATTTTAAATAGAATTTTACTTTTATTTTTATTTT